TTTTCCCCCTCTCTCTTTCTTCTCGCGCCCCTCCTGCTCCTTCTTCCCCCCCTCTCTCTTCTTTCCCCCCCTCATCTCTCTTGCCCCCCGTCTCTCTTTCCTTCCCCTCTCTGCCTCTCTTTTTCCCCCCCTCTCTCTCTTCCCCCCCCTCCTCTCCCCTCCCCCCTCTCCCCCCCCTCTCTCATCCCTCCCCCCCATCTCTCATCTCTTCCCCCCCTCTCCCCTTTCTCCTCTCGTCTCGTCGCTCCCCCCTCTCTCTCCTTCCCCCCCTTCTCACTCCCCCCCACTTCTCCCCTCCCACTCGCTCTCCACGCCCCCCCCTCTCCCTTTCTCCTCCCCCCCTCTCTCCCTCTCCCCCCCTCTCCCTCACTCCCTCGCCCCCCTCTCCTCTTCCTCCCCCCTCTGCTTCTCCCCCTGGCCTCCTCTCTTCCCCCCCCCCTCACTCTAATCTTCCCACCGTCACTCTCATTGTATTTTACTGCCTCCCCACCCTCTCTCCCCCCACTCTCTCTTTCTGCCCCTACTCTCTCTTTTCCCCCCTCTCTCGTCTTCCCCCCCTCTCCCCCTCTGCCGCTCTCTCCTTCCTCACCCTTCACCCTCTCTCCCTCTCCCCTCCTCCTCCCGCCTCCTCTCCATCATTTCTCTACCCTCTCACCTCTTCTTCTCCCCCCTCTCTCCACTTCTCCCTCCCCCCTCGTCTCTCTTCCATTTCTCCCTCCTCACTCTCTTTATCCCCCTCCCTCACTTCCCGCCCTCGTCTCTTCCCCCTTCCCTCTCTTCACTCCTCCCTCTGTCCTCTACCGCCCTCTCGTCCTCTCCCCTCTCTCCTCAGCCATCCTCCTCTTCCCCCCCCCTCTCTCTCCTCCACCCCTCTCTCTTCCTCTCGCCAATTTCTTGTTCCTCACCCTCGTCTCTCCCTCACCCTCTCTCTTACCCCCGGCCGCCTTCTCTCTCTCTTACCCACCCTCTCCCGCCTCCACTTCTTCCACACATCTCCTCTCCTACTGCTGTTATCTCTCCGTCTTACCCTCCCCCCGCTACTCGTCCCTCTCATGCCCCTCTCCTCTTCCCCCTCTCTCGTTGCTCCCTCCCTCCTCCCCACTCTCTCTCTCCCCCCACTCCCCCACTCTAACTTCTTCCTCTCCCTCTTCACTCCTCCCCGCTGTCTTCTACCCAACTCCTCACTCGTTCCTCCCTCTTCCGCCCTCTCTCTTCTTTCCGGCTCAGTGTCCTCCTCTTTCCCCCCTCCTCTCTTCTTCCCCCCGTCTCTTCCCCGCCGCCCTCTCTACCCCTTCCCACCCTGATCCCCCCAGCTCTCGCTTTTCCCCCCTCCCTCTCTCTTCCCGACCACTCTCTTACCCTCTCTCACTACCCTCTCTCTCTGTTCCCGCTCTCTACTGCTCTCTCTCTCGTCCTCCTCCTCCCCTCCTCCCTCTTCCCAACCCTCCGTGTTCCCTCTGCCCGCCTCTCCTCCCCACCGTCTCCTCTCTAGAGGATCTCCCCCCTCTCTTCTCCCTCCCGTCTCTCTTCTCGTCTCCTCCCTCTCTCATCTCCCCACTCCCCCTTACCCCTCATTCTCCCGTTCCCGCCTGCCTTCCCGTCGCCCGCCCCCTCTCTCTTCTTCCTCCCCCTCACGCTCCCTCTCTCGCTACCTTTCCCCCCGATCTCTCTCCCTCCCTCGCCCTCTCCCGCATCCCCCCTCCTCCCCCATCGATCCCTCCTCTATCATCCCTCTCTTACCCCTCCGGTCTACCCACCTCTCCCCTCCCTCTCTCTCCTCGAACCTCTCCGTCCGTCCTCCCCCCCTTTCGTACCATCTCTTCCTCCCCTCTCTCGTTCCCCTCTCTTCCCTCTCTCGCTTTCCCTCCTCTCTCTCTTCCCCGCTCTCCGAGCCTTTTCTCTCTTCACCCCTTTTTCTCTCTCTCCCCCTCTCCTCTCTTCTCTCTCCCACGCTCTCTCCCCTCCCCCCTCCCTCTCTTCCTCCCCCCCTCACCTCTCTTCCCCCTCTCTCTTCTTCCCCCCTCTCCTCTTCTTTCCCCCCTCTCTTCTTCTCCCCCCTCTCTCTCTTCCCCCCTCACTCTTCCCCCCTCTCTCGTCTTCCCCCTCTCTCCCCCTCTCCCCCCTCTCCCCCTCTCCTTCCCCCCCTCTCTCTTTCCCCCCTCTCTCTTATCCCCCTCTCTCTCCCCCCCTCTTCCTCTCCTTCCCCTCTCCTCCCCCCCCTCTCTCTCCTTCCCCCTCTCTCTCCCCCCTCTCTCTTCCCTCTTCCCCCCACCTCTCCCCCTTCCCCACCCTCCTTCCCCTCTCTTCTCTTCTCCTTCCCCCTCCTTTTCCCTCCTCTCTCTCTTCTCCCCCCCTCTCTCTCTTCTCCGTCTCTCCTCCTCCCTCTATCTTTCTTCTCCTCCCCCTACTCTCTTCGCTCACCCCCCCCCTCTCTTCTCTTCTCCCCGCCTCTCTCATCTTTCCCTCCCCCCCTCTCTCTCTCATCCCCTGCCCCCCTCTCCTCTTCACTCTCTTCCTCTCTCTTCTTTCTCCCCCCCTCTCTCTTCTCTCCTTCCCCCCTTCTCTCTTCTTGCTCCCGCCCCCCCTCGTCTCTCTTCTCCTTTCCCCTGCTCTTCCACGTTCTTTCCTCCCCCCGTCTCTCCTCTTCTCACTTTCCACCCTCTCTCTCTCTCCTTGTCCCCCCTCTCCTCATCATTCGTGCTCTCTCCTTACCCCCTCTCGTCTCATCTTCCCCCCCCTCGCTCCTCACTCCCCCCTCGTCTCTCTTCTCTCCCCCTCTCTCTCTTCTCCCGCCTTCTCTCTCTTCTCCCCCCTCTCTCTCTTCTCTCCCCTCTCCTCTCTTCTCCCTCTACCTCCTCTCTCTCCTTCTCCGCGCTGTTCCTCTCCCTCCCCCTCCACCATCTCTCCTATCCCCCCTTAGCTCCTCTCCGCCCCGCCTCTCCGTCCGTCCTCATGTTCGGTTTGCAGTCAACCATTCGAACCTGATGTTCGACCTGCAAACTTTGATCTTAATGCAAGGCTATGGGACTCGAAAAGCACCCATTTTGAAGGCTTATATGTAAGTTATTGGTCATAAAAGGGGTATGGGGACTTCTTCTTCATAGTTTTTAAAATTCCTTTAAATATCATGCCTGGGGGGGGGTTCCCTTAACCACTTGCCCCTCCAGAGGATTTACCCCCCACCCCTCCGCCTTCCTTCCTGACCAGGCCATTTTTTGCATTACAGCGCTGCATTACTTTAACTGAACAATTGCGCGGTCATACAACGTCGCAACCCAAATTAAATTTACGTCCTTTTATAGACTGGGATTTTTATTTACTTATTTATTTTTACTAGTAATGATCAGTGACTTATAGCGGGACTGCGGCGGACATTCTGACACTGGGGGGGGGGGGGGACTGACTTGGTGTCACTGACATCCCCAGTGACACCAATAGAGTGATCAGTGCTAATAAAAAGCGTAGACACTGTACTAATGGCATTGGGCAGGAAGGGGTTAACATCTGGGGCGATCAAAGGGTTAACTGTGCGCTGTGTGTGTGATTTCCTAGAAAGACATGCTGCTGTGCAGAGAGATACAAAGCAGCATGTCTTTACTGACTGGGGAGAGACCTGTGTTGTTTACATACAGACCTCTCTTCTGTCGGCTCCGCCAATGATCACGGAGTCCTGGCCGAATATTGGTGTCCGGGACCCGGTGATTAACATGGAGCGCGGGTAGGGAGCTTGTCAGCGCCCCTTTGGCGGAAATGCAAATCATACATGATTTTGTGCATCCCTGTCGCTCTGATGCAGTAATTCTGCTATAGGGCGATCAGGAAGCGGTTCAACTACCTGCAAAGCTGCACATCTGTAGAATGTAAAGAACCTGCTGCAGCAGAATTGATGTTTTTTTTGTTTTGTTTTTTCTAAATGACATAAAGATAAAAAAACAAACAAACACATGGTATCCCCCACAATCCTTACCAGACCCTTAGGGGTTTATTTACTAAAGCTGGAGAGTGCAAAATCAGACTCACTTCTGCATAGAAACCAATCAGCTTCCAGGTTTCATTGCCAAAGCTTCATTGAACAAGCTGAGGTTAGAAGCTGATTGGTTTCTATGCAGAAGGGAGTCTGATTTTGGACTCTCCAGCTTTAGTAAATAAACCCCTTAAGGTCTGGTAGGAAAGTTAGGAGGTACCCCACAGTAGGAAATTAAAAAGAGAGCACGAGGGGTTCCCCTTAAAAGCCATACTAGGCCCTTTTAGGCCTGGTAGGACTTTTAAGGGGAACCACACCCCCAATAAATTTGGGGTAAAAAAGCGTCGGCTTACCAGGCAACATGTTTACTTTTGCCCTTTTTTTTACCTTCATGCAAAGGTGGAGACCAGATACAGTGAACGCAGGGACCGGGGAGAGCGAATATAGTGAATGCGGGGTCCTGGGGGGAGATGCGGGGTCCGGGGAGAGCGGATATACTGAATGCGGGGTCCGGGGGGGAGAGCGGATATACTGAATGCGGGGTCCGGGGAGACCGGATATACTGAATGCGGGGTCCGGGGGAGAGCCGGATATAGTGAATGCGGGGTCCGGGGAGCGGATATACTGAATGCGGGGTCCGGGGAGAGCGGATGCGGGGTCCGGGGGAGAGCGGATATAGTGAATGCGGGGTCCTGGGAGAGCGAAATTAGTGAGTGCGGGGTCCGGGGGGAGAGCGAATATAGTGAATGCCGGGTCCGGGGAGAGCGGATATAGTGAATGCGGGGTCCAGGGAGAGCGGATATAGTGAATGCTGCAGGGTCCAGGGAGAGCGGATATAGTGAATGCGGGGTCCGGGGAGACCGGATATAGTGAATGCGGGGTCCGGGGGGGGAGAGCGGATATACTGAATGCGGGGTCCGGGGAGACCGGATATACTGAATGCAGGGTCCGGGGAGAGCGGGTATAGTGAATGCAGGGTCCGGGGAGAGCGGGTATAGTGAATGCAGGGTCCGGGGAGAGCGGGGGGTATAGTGAATGCGTGGTCAGAGGAGAGCGGAAATAGTGAATGCGGGGTCCGGGGAGAGCGGATATAGTGAATGTGGGGTCTGGGGAGAGTGGATATAGTGAATGCAGGGTCCGGGGAGAGCGGGTATAGTGAATGCAGGGTCCGGGGAGAGAGCGGGTATAGTGAATGCAGGGTCCGGGGAGAGCGGGTATAGTGAATGCGTGGTCAGAGGAGAGCGGAAATAGTGCAGGGTCTGGGGATAGTGGATATAGTGAATGCAGGGTCCGGGGAGAGCGGGTATAGTGAATGCAGGGTCCGGGGAGAGCGGGTATAGTGAATGCGTGGTCAGAGGAGAGCGGAAATAGTGCAGGGTCTGGGGAGAGCGGATATAGTGAATGCAGGGTCCGTGGAGAGCGGGTATAGTGAATGCAGGGTCCGGGGAGAGCGGGTATAGTGAATGCGTGGTCAGAGGAGAGCGGAAATAGTGCAGGGTCTGGGGAGATATGACCATTGTAATTGCAGACAATAGCGTGCAACTTGCCATGCGATTTGCAAGTCGTATGGCATGCAAATCGCATGCCAAGTCGCACCAGTGTGACCGGGGACTAAAAGTCAATTCACTAAAAAAGTAAATGAATACATTCATAAGTAGTGGTCTAGCTTTGCCTTATGTATGGAATGTAGTCAATTACTATAACTCAAACAAAAAACAAACATGCGGTCCTCCCAATCCTTACTGGGCCTTTCAGATCTGGAATGGATTTTGGAGGGACCTCACGCCAAAAAAATAAAAAAATAATGTTGTGAGGTCCCACAAAGTCAATACCAGACCCTTACCTGAGTATGCAGACCCCCCCCCCCCCTAGCAAAGCGCCTTGTCCCTATGTTTATGAGGACAAGGGCCTCTCCCCCACAACTTCAGCCTGGTGACTGTGGGGGTGTGATGTATCAGAATCTGTGGCCCCAAGATCCCGACCCCCTACCCTTATGTGAATGAGTAGGGGAACATAGTACCCCTACTCATTCACACAAAAAAAAAGACAAGTCTGTTATTAAGAAAATAGAAAAGTCCCTCAATGCATGTAGTGATCACCTCCGAAAGGGCCTGCTGAATGGTCCGAAGGTTCTTTCCCAAAGATACTCGCAGCCAGGAGCGCAGTCTTAGTCACTCCTTCCAATATCAGCCAGACATGTCTGGCCGATCTCTCCAGGCCAGATCCCCAAGAAGAAATCCCTCGATTAGTTGCAGCAAGGTTCAGCAGAACAGGCTCCCCAGCTGGGTCCTCAATGAGCAAATAAAGAAGCACAGCGGGGCAGCAGCCCTTCAGCCTTGGATCTGTTCCAAGCTTCAGCCTTATTGATGCACTCCCCATCCACCTACTGGGCACAGCCCCCTCCCCAGGGATTGGCTTGGATCACAATCAAAATTCGGGCTGCCTACTTGACTCTCCCAGCTCAGTACATTCCAGAACTCTCCACAAAGTATGGAGGAAATATCTTTTTCTCAGAATCTATACCAGTGGTTCTCAACCTTTCTAATGCCGCGACCCCTTAATACAGTTCCTCATGTTGTGGTGACCCCCAACCATAAAATTATTTTCGTTGCTACTTTCATAACTGTAATTTTGCAGTGGGAGGACTAGCGCCCCATCACTGATGTCAGTGGGATGAATAGCGCCCCATCACTGATGTCAGTGGGAGGAATAGTGCCCCATCACTGATGTCAGTGGGATGAATAGTGTCCCATCGTTGGTATCAGTGGGAGGAATAGTGTCCCATCATTGGTGTCAGTGGGAGGAATAGTGCCCCATCATTGGTGTCAGTGGGAGGAATAGTGCCCCATCATTGGTGTCAGTGGGAGGAATAGTGCTCCATCATTGGTGTCAGTGGGAGGAATAGTGCCCCATCATTGGTGTCAGTGGGAGGAATAGTGCCCAATCATTGGCGTCAGTGGGAGGAATAGTGCCCAATCATTGGCGTCAGTGGGAGGAATAGTGCCCCATCATTGGTGTCAGTGGGAGGAATAGTGTCCCATCATTGGTGTCAGTGGGAGGAATAGTGCCCCATCATTAGTATCAGTGGGAGGAATAGTGCCCCATCATTGGTGTCAGTGGGAGGAATAGTGCCCCATCATTGGTATGAGTGGGAGGAATAGTGCCCCATCATTGGTATGAGTGGGAGGAATAGTGCCCCATCATTGGTATGAGTGGGAGGAATAGTGCCCCATCATTGGTGTCAGTGGGAGGAATAGTGCCCCATCATTGGTGTCAGTGGGAGGAATAGTGCCCCATCATTGGTGTCAGTGGGAGGAATAGTGCCCCATCCTTGGTGTCAGTGGGGGGGAGGAATAGTGCCCCATCGTTGGTGTCAGTGAGGGGGGAGGAATACTGTCTCATCGTTGGTGTCAGTGGGGGGAGGAATAGTGCCCCATCGTTGGTGTCAGTGAGGGGAGGAATAGTGCCCCATCGTTGGTGTCAGTGAGGGGAGGAATAGTGCCCCATCGTTGGTGTCAGTGGGGGGAGGAATAGTGCCCCATCGTTGGTATTAGTGACACAAATGATGGGGCACTATCCCTTCCACTGACACCAATGATACTTACCTTGCTGACTCCTGCTCCTGCCTGGGCTCGCTCTCTCCCTCTCCCATCTACATCCTGCATACCTGGCTGCAGCAGCAAAATTTGCACTTACCTGTCAGCTGTCTTCCTTCTCTGGCCGCTCTCCTCTTCACTCGTTCCTGCAGCTCCCTCGATCTTCTTCGATCTCCGCTCGCTGCCGCTCGGCTCCTCCTCTCCAAGCTCCACCTTCTCGCCGGTGATTGGCCGCCTGTGTGCCTCTCCTGAGCTACAGTTCCGGTGGCCAATCAGCGGCGAGGAGGCGGTGACAGGGGCAGCATATCATCCGCCCACACATCGCCGGAGACAGCAGCGGTGTCTCGGTTCCTAAGACCATCGGAAATATGTGTTTTCCGATGGTCTTAGGCGACCCCTGGGAAATGGTCGTTCGACCCCCAGGTTGAGAACCGCTGATCTATACCAACAGTGAGTCTCAACTACGATACTACAGTGTCAAGCTCCTATTGGCTTGGAATTCAAGCTACAATTGACGCCCCCCCCATAAGTTGTCTGACAAGGCCATGTCAATTTGACATAAAAACATCCACGTAGGTCATTACCGTGATTTATGCAGTTTTCCGTTGGCCCAGTTGTGTCCACTTTTAGGCAAAGCACTCTCTTAATCACTGGCACTTTATAAGCTGATCGCCGAACACTGACTAACTATAAGGCCATGCACTGGGCCTCTGGGTATTCCCAGCAAGGAATGCACATGGGCCCTATCTTCCAACAGGGTCAGATGCTTTTATACCGAGCATCAAAAATGTTTTTTTTTTTTTTCTTCTTTTGTGTACCTGCAGTGCATCCAGAAAGTATTCCCAGCACTTCACTTTCACCACATTTTATGTTACAGCCTTATTCCAAAATTGATTAAATTCATTTTTTTTCCTCAACATTCTACAAACAATACCCCATAATGACAACGTGAAAGGTTCTTTTTGAAATCTTTGCAATTTATTAAAAATAAAAAATGAAAAAAAAAAAAACATGTATATACGTATTCCCAGCCTTTGCTCAATACTTTGTTGAAGCCCCTTTAGCACCAATTCCAGCCTCGAGTCGTTCTGAGTATGATGCTACAAGCTTGGCACACCTATTTTTGGGCAATTTCTCCCATTCTTCTTTGCAGGACCTCTCAAGCTCCATCAGGTTGGATGGGGAGTGTTGGTGCACAGCCATTTTCAGATCTCTCCAGAGATGTTCAATCGGGTTCAAGTCTGGGCTCTGGCTGGGCCACTCCAGGACATTCACAGTGTTGGCCCGTAGCCACTCCTTTGTTATGTGGGCTGTGTGCTTAGGGTCGTTGTCCTGTTGAAAGATAAACCGTCGCTCCAGTCTAAGGTCCAGAGCGCTCTGGAACAGGTTTTCATCAAGGATGTCTCTGTACAATGCTGCATTTATCTTTCCTTTGATCCTGACTAGTCTCCCAGTTCCTGCAGCTGAAAAACATCCCCACAGCATGATGCTGCCACCACCATGCTTCACTGTAGGGATGGTATTGGCCAGGTGGTGAGCAGTGCCTGGTTTCCTCCGAACAGACGCTTGGCATTCAGGCCAAAGAGTTCAATCTTTGTTTCATCAAACCAGACAGTTTTGTTCCTCATGGTCTGAGAGTCCCTCAGGTGCCTTTTGGCAAACTCCAGGGGGCTGCCATTTGCCTTTTACTGAGGAGTGGCTTCCATCTGGCCACTCTACCATACAGGCCTGATTGGTGGAGTGCTGCAGAGATGGTTGTTCTACTGGAAGGTTCTTCTCTCTCCACAGAGAAATGCTGGAGCTCTTTCAGAGTGACCATCGGGCGCTTGGTTACCTCCCTGGCTAAGGCCCTTCTCCTTCGATCGCTCATTTCGGCTGGGCGGGCGGCCCGCTCTTGGAAGATTCCTGGTGGTTCCAAACTTCTTCCATTTACGGATGGTGGAGGCCACTGTGCTCATCGGGACCTTCAATGCTGCAGAAACTTTTCTGTACCCCAGATCTGTGCCTTGATACAATCCTGTCTCGGATGTCTACGGACAATTCCTTGGACTTCATGGCTTGGTTTGTGCTCTGACACGCACTGTGTTACCTGTGGGACCTTCTATAGACATGTTTTTGCCTTTCCTAATCATGTCCAATCAACTGAATGTCCCACAGGTGGACTCCAAATCATGTCCCAATGAATGTCCCCACAGGGGACTCCAATCCACTGAATGTCCCCACAGGTGGACTCCAATCCACTGAATGTCCCACAGGTGGACTCCAATCCACTGAATGTCCCACAGGTGGACTCCAATCCACTGAATGTCCCACAGGTGGACTCCAATCCACTGAATGTCCCACAGGTGGACTCCAATCCACAGTCCCCACAGGTGGACTCCAATCCACTGAATGTCCCCACAGGTGGACTCCAATCCACTGAATGTCCCCACAGGTGGACTCCAATCCACTGAATGTCCCACAGGTGGACTCCAATCCACTGAATGTCCCACAGGTGGACTCCAGTCAAGTTGTGGAAACATTTCAAGGATGATCAGTGGGAACAGGATGCACCAGAGCTCAATTTTGAGTGTCATGTCAAAGGCTGGGAATACTTATGTACATGTGTAGTTTTTTTTTATTTTTTTTATTTTTAATAAATTGCAAAGATTTCAAAACGAACTTCTTTTATGTTGTCATTATGGGGTATTCTTTGTAGAATGTTGAGGATGAATTTAATCCATTTTGGAATAAGTCTGTAACATAACAAAATGTAGCAAAAGTTACACGCTGTGAATACTTTCTGTATGCACTGGATAGTTACTCTGAACAGTATGGCTAATTGTCAAGTTACTTTGTCCTGGATTAACAGGAATGTGAGTAGTAGGGT